GATCTATTTATTAATTTTTTTGTGTTTTCGGAAAAAAGGACTAATAGATTCTTTTTACTTCACTTTAACATTCTTATCTAGGATTCTAATTAGGCCTAATATTAAGAACAATAAAATAATATTCAATGACGTCGTAAAAATGAAAAAAAGCGGTTATATTCTTTTGCCGTAATGAATCTTTCTGATCGTGAATCACGATTTTAAAAATTATATATTAACAAACACATCAAATTTTTTTGATTGATGGCCTACGAAATTTAGAAAAAATATTTTTTTATAAAACGTTGTATATCTTATACTCGCTTCTCATAACAAATAGACTTAGTTTTTGAAGAAAAAAATTTTAAATCATGTAAAAGGAGAAATTACCACATATTATAGCAGAAATCATTCTACTCACAATTGTTGATAAATTTGGTAATGATATTTATATAAATTTTCTAATTGAATTCGTAAACAATATTCGTAAAGCCTTACCACTGCATGAGCTTTATTTGGAAATGAAGCAATTATTATGTTGATACACGATTTAAGTATCGTTAAAGGCTTATGTAACAGTACGAGATTACAAATTACAAAATTACTTGAATGCAATACTGAAGCGAAAATTATATAATTGGAGAAAAAATAATTAGAAAGATAGCTCACATACCAAAAATAACTCTTAATACGTAAAATTCGTTATTATTAAGAAATAGAAAATATTGTTAGGACAGAAATTTTTGACGTTTACTAATTTAAAGTACATAGAAAAAAATTTAATTTCTTTACATTAGCAAAATTATTCAACTGTCTAAAATATTCTTGTACAATTTATTTAAATAATAAACAAATTCATTAAGTCAATAAAATTGTGATATAAATATTGTTGTATTACGATGCGCATTATTTGACTTGTATCATTAAACAATGTTTCTATTTTTTCATGGTAAAAAGGGCTACTAGCAAGGTTCATGGTTTAAATACTCTATAAGTTTATCCATTGTTATTGATTAAGTAAAAAAATATAACGTCATGTTTTTATACATATTCAATAATGCAATTAATAAGGTCTTAGAAAATTTAGGAACACAAAACCAGCGCTCCATGGCAGTACCTCAACGTTGGTGTGTAAATGTGCTTACATGCTAGAAATAAAGGTCTTTAAACTGTAAGGAGAGCTGAGACAAAAGGTGCTAATAGTCATATAACTAGAAACATCATGAAAACTGATCTTATTTTACTTCATTTACAAATGCGGTTGAAGGGAGACTTGAAGTGAGGGGAGGGAGTGCTTTAAAATTATATTAGATTATCCGGTTGTAAGGTTACAAAGTTAAGAAAGGGGGTAGAAAGAGACTAAACCAAAATTCTACCCAATAAAAATAGGTGAAAACTGACAGTATAGAAAAGTGCTAATAAATTATACAGCTAAAATAATTACATTTAAAAGTGACAAATAACATGGTGCTAAGAAGTGGTAAAAAGTAGCTGTTTAGAAATTGTGACAAGGCCAAGAATTTTTTTTTTTAATGTATGGAGAGCTTCGAGTGGGGGTGCTAAAAAGAAATAAAATAAAAATGACACGATTACTAACATAGTTTTATTTCATTTGGAGATGCTGCTGATGGAAGGCTGAAGGGAGTTTTTTTGAATTTTAAGGGAGGCTTATTGGGTTATCCAGTTATTGGGTGATAGAATGATGAGAGATGGCGAAGGAGAGCTAAACAAAAATTTAATCCAATAAAAATACAGTTAAGACTGATAAAATTTTACCTCATTTAGAGGGTGGCTAAGGGGGATGTCAGAGGGACTGAGGGCGGCTTATTAAAATCGAGTGAAGGGATAAGGAGGAGTTAATGAGATTTAGAGGGTAGGCTTACTTATAATTTAACCTAATAAAAATTACCTTAAAACTATTAGCGTTGTACCTTATTTGAAGGGGGAATAGGAGGACTAATAAGGGGCTAATGAGGGTTAGAGGGGGTTTGTGTGAAATGACCCTCAAAAATTCCGCTATTATAATGGAATATATTCTTGATTTCTGACATTTAAGTTTGTTACTTACGTCTGCTTAGTCAGATGGAAATTTACAAATGTACGATCACGGAATTTGTTTACGTCTGTGGAGTGAGTCACTTCTACGAGGTTAGTTCTCTTAAAAGCATACTGGATATCTATCTGTACATATGAGGTTTATAAAGAATATTTGATCCTATATACATGCGGTGGTTATGTATTATTTTTTTATGACGGATAGACGCATGTACGCATCGTCTTTCAAGAGCATTCTACTATCCGCCTCTGCTGTGTCAATTCACGCCTATTTTAACCATTGCGTCGCCTGATTTCTTACCTTTTCTAACTTATTGTTTATCGTATGTTCTGTTGTTCATCTCTTGTGTGCGTGCACTTAGAATTATTACTGCACGCTTTTTTTTTTAAATTTTTATCAAGTTCAGAGATACTTGTAGGTAATCGTGAGTAAATTTCATGGCTATTAGACTGCTAATATAAAAATCTCGTGCTCTATTTAAAAAAGTGGGGTGGTGGAGGTGGAGAGGGTGGTAAAGGACTACTACCGAAGGGGTGCTGAGGGAAATCGGGGGGCAGGATGTATGTAATTTGGTACCCAAGTTGCACTCTGTTTCTATGGTTTTTCAACTCGCTGATCAGAGGTCCCCCTCTCTCTTTTCCCTCTCGCTTACTTAGTATTTGTCTTTCAAATTACGTAATTTATTTGACGTGATTTAACAATTACGTTTAGATAATCTCTTTCTGATCCATGTCTACTTTTTCTAAAGATATAATTCTTGATTTACTGAGGAATTTATTCACAAAAAGACAGAATTTAAAAAAAGATATAATTAAATGGACCAACACAATCAAGATTTTTTAATAATAATTTATTCTGTTGATTTAATGTTGGGACATTTTATGTGTCGTTTTAACCCATCTCTTTTTTAAAACCCTTGTCATATTTTTTCATGGTTCTTATGAATAAATATAAGTCTACTCAAACGTGACAATCATTTGAACGTTTGTTTACATTCTGTACGATTCAATAATCTCACGTCACTATATTCCTTTTTATGCCGTACTAAAATTTTTACTTTCGTAAAAGCAATTCCGCAAATTTACATAAAAATACTTTTATTTTCTATGCTTTAATTTATGAATCCTGAATTTTTTTGGTGTTAAAAACTTTTTGTTGCAGAAGTTGCAAGGGTATTGTTTAGATTTGTAATATGCAGCTGCAAAGGAAGAGCTCGCGTAAAAGCTAGCTGAGACCGTAGAGCGGAAGGCAAAAGAAGGAAGATGCAAACGAACACAGCAACAGCCGGGACACACACTTTAGAATAAATCACAAGCTCTCTTTATGTAACTTTGAATCAGCTTTAATTACAAACTAATATTTATGTACACAAATTGAACAAAAACAGGAACCATTAGCTCGATTACAATATCTATTCTTTCTAATATTAACTTTTAAAACGGCGCGAGCGCATAGGAGCAACGAGCAACGCTTTCCCAGCCTGAAAGGCAGAAGCGCACTGAAGAGCGGGCTCGGGGCTTCTCTTTGACTTAGCACGTTTGATATATATAGGTAATAGGTGAGCGCGCTTGCTATACTTTACTACATGGATGACGCTTATACTTATGTGATATTTTATATACTCCCGGGCTAGTGCGTCAAAGCCTGCGACACGCACTAAAGAAATTTTGTTGTTTGAAACAAAAGAAGTTATGATGATTATACGTGTTTTTATTAGTAGAGTCTACAATGTTAATTGTTTTATATAAATAATAAAAATAAGGACTGCTGTCCTTTTACAATGTTCTAAACAAAATAAGTAAAAATCATACAAAGTAAAAAATTTTATTAAGTCAATAAAAAAGTTTAAGAGTAAACTAATAAACTAGGAAACAGATACTGACTCCTTTACCCCTCTCCCTTGTAAATTTAAAAAAGATCAGAATCATTTCTTTATTTTTTCTTCGGGAATTAAAAGTACTAATTTTACTACCGGTCTGGTAAGAATACCATTAGCAGCAAGTAGCTTTGCTACTCTTACAAGACTATCAGAACCCTTTAAAGTCTCAACTACTCTAGCTAAAGGCCAATGACCAGGAGGACAGTTCTCCTTTTTGATTAAAACTAAATCATTTATACAGATCAATCTTTCCTTTGTATACTATTTCTGAAGGGCTTGTAAAGAACTCAAATATTCTGAAGCCCAGAGTGTTCAAAAACTTTGTAGAGCGAAAGAGATCAGCTTCTAGCGCCCAAGTGGCGTGAGCTCTTTCTGATCAACAGGAGGATCAGAAATTTAATAAACAGGTTTTGCGTTTATGAAGTAAGCAGAAGTTAGAGGTAAAAAATCCTGAATATCTTCTGAGAGAGCTAACAAAGGTCTAGAATTTAGACATGCCTCAATATGACAAAGAATGGTAGAAAATTCTACAAATGTTAGAACCTGCTCGCCAATAACTCTTTTGATGTGATACTTAGTTCGTTTTACCGAAGCTTCCCACAACCCTCCAAAACGGGGAGCGGAAGGCGGGTTTAAGTGCCAGTTGGTACCTAAATTTTAGAATTAATAACCTAGTTTGTCTGATAATAGCATTCAAACTACGGCTTCTCTAAGTTTAGAAGCAGCACCTACGAAATTAGTGCCTTGATCGCTATAGAGGTCAGTACATTGGCCGCGACGACTTGAAAAACGATAGAAAGCGGCGAGAAAAGTCAAAAAAGAATAGTCCTCTACTATTTCTAGGTGAACTGCCGTAGTTAACAGGCAGACGAATACCGCTATGTACCCCTTTTGAGTTCCGCGATCTCGAACTTTAGCTAACCGAATCGGGAAATGTTTGGCATAATCAACATCTATTTTAGTGAACGCAGGGGCAGGAACTACACGGAATTGAGGCAAGTCGCTTATGAGCTGCTTCTGTACCGGACTAGCATACCTGTTGCATTTGATGCATTTGTTAAGGATGGCTTTGACGACTTGACGGTCACGTACTATCCAGTATATTTGACAAATGGAGAAAAGCGTAGCTTGTGCAGCGCCGTGCAAAGTCATTTGATGATAATGACGAACTATCAGATCAGTTAAATTATGTTTAGGAGCAAGAATAAGAGGATGCTTAACGTCTTCACAGATCTGCGCATTGACAAGCTTGCCACCTACTCTAAGTATGCTATCAATGAAGATAGACCGTAATTTAATCAATGAGCTGTCCGATTTTATAAGATCATCTTGATTTTCTACTGTTTCAGAGGCTTGAAAGTAGGCTTTGTACTCTCAAGGGTAATATATTTTTTGATGATATCTGACTCAAAAAATCGAGCATTGTCTAATTCAGAAATTAAAAGACTGGAAGTTTCTCTATTAAGAAGATCAATTAAGTGGATATGAGTCAAATTTTTAGTTTTTCACACAGTAGTGCCTAAGGCTTTCTGTTTTATAATCAGCGCAGACGTGTAGGCACATTTATGCATCAGCTTATAAATGGAGCGCATACAGTAAGCAGCAATAGAAATTCATACGACCAATGGTATACATGTGTATGTTGATACATCTAAATCATTGTATCAAGAGGTGCATATGCATAGATGGCGGCACTTTCAATACAAGCACTCTATATCCTCCATACATGCACTTTTTTTCAATATCCAATATACTTAAGACTCATAATATCAAACCACATTACTTCTTCTTCAAGAAAATGTTCTTAAGAAATAAAGAAGAAAGAGAAAAATATCCTCCCCGGGTATGGATCGAACACACAACCTCCTGTTTACTATACAGTTGCTCTACCACTTGAGCTACGGACGAGCTGTACATTGACTCGCACCGTAAGTTTAGATAAGTTTCCCATTCTTAATTTTTGGAGCTGTCTTTCACCAAAGCTCGATAAAGTAGTTATGTGACTCTAATGATACAATGATTTAGATGTATCAACATTTGCTTTTATACTACTGGTCGTATGAATTTCTAATTTACTGACAAGCATTAGAGTCACATAACTAGTAAGCAGTAATCCTCAGAAACTTCGGCCAACTACTATATTTGAATTGAAGATCCCAAGCCTTACGATTTTCAGTAAGCTGGAAAGCTTAAGACTCGGCTAGTTGACAAGTCTGAAGCTCAAAATCATTTGTAGTTTTGTCAAACTTAAGCTAGGGATGGACAAATTCAGTGGAACGCAGAAATTCTGGTCCATTGAACCATTGTTTTTCTTTGAGTAATTGATTAGAAGTAACTCCTCTCGAGCCTACATCAGCAGGGTTTTGTTTAGTGGCAACGTGATTTCATAGTGCTCTGGGAACAAGAGTCATGATGTCGGATCATCGATTAGCGACAAAGGTTGGCCAACGAGAGGGTACAGCATTAATCCAATATAGGACGCTCTTAAAATCTGTCCAGAAATGAGTTTCTACCTCACTTAGATATACTGTGGATAAATAATGATTCACAAGTTTAACAAGAAGATGAGTGGCACACAACTCAAGACGAGAAATACTTATGGTCTTGATAGGCGCTACTTTCGTTTTTGCTATTTTTAAGGTCACAAGAACACCATTCAGTGTAACGACACGTGTGTATATTACAGCAGCATACGCACGCTTTGAAGCGTCAGCAAAACCGTGTATTTCTATAGAATTTGACTTTGGTTGAAAATTATTCCAACGAGGGATCTTTACTTGACTAAAAGATGCCGTTTCACTTATCCAGTCGTGCCATTCGCTGCACAACTCAGGAGGCAACTTATCGTCCCAAGAAGTCTTTAGTAACCAAAGTTCCTGCATTATTATTTTGTGCTTAATAATTGCAAAGGAAATTCAACCCCGTAGACCGAAAAATCGAGCAATTTGAGCTAAAAGAGAGCGTTTAGTCCAAACTATATTGCCCTCAATATTTTCCGTTTGGAAATAAATTTTATCGAAGCAGGGCTTCCATTTAATACCTAACACTGATATGTTTTCGAGATATTGGGCTAAATTGCTGCACCATTTTCTTAACTAAAAACATCCTAAGCTTGTTATTTTTATCAACTCGTCTATTTTGTTGATGGCCTCTGGTATTGAATGAGCCCCTGATAAGAAGTCATCCATACAAACTTTTTCCTGAAGTATTTGAGCCCGCAAAGGATACTCTTGATGATATAATAGCGCTAATTCTTGAAGTACTTGAAAGGCTAAGAAGGGTGAACAAACGAGACTATACGTGACCGTTGTAAGAAGGTATGATTTTACAGGTTTACTAACGTTTTTACGCCAGAGAATGGCTTGAAACTTTCGGTTTGATTCATGCGGGAGAATCTGTCGAAATATTTTTTCCGCATCAGCGGAAAATCCAACTTTGTATTTATGCCATTTCATAATAAGATTGAATAAATTCGGCAACAAATTCTCCCAAGTATGGAGACAAGAATTAAGAGAGATGCCACTGCGAGTAGCGGCAGAACCATTGAAAACTACTCTGAGTAAGGTTGTTGTACTCGACTCACGCAACACTCCATTGTGAGGGAGATTACACACTGGATTTTCGTGATTGTCTATTGGAGTCATGTGTTTAAGATTTTGATATTTGATCATAAATTTGCTGTATGACTCACGAAGTTGAGCATGGGACTCAAAGCTTGACTCCAGCTTAGAAAATATAACTTTAGCCCTTTTTAATGATTCAGTTTGAGATTCATATAAAACCTTAGGAGATTTTTTAAACGGAAGTTTAACCGTCCTGACGGATCTCGAAAACAAATTATTTGGAAGAACTTCTCACATTATGTTTCATCCGCTGAGAGTGGTATAGGCTTAGTCGGTAATTCCGTAACATGCAAAATTTTTGCAATGAATTAAATAGGGTGGATGCTTCCTCGTTGACGTAAAGAGTTTTTAAACGATTTACGTTAGAATGAGATTGACCGCATGAAGAGCCGGACAGAAGCGAGCCCAATGCATATTTAGAGGCCATTGGGCAATGTGAGTTGTCATTTTTAATTGAGCCCTCGATAATTCGGGCTTGGACAGTGGCATCGAGTAATAATTCGATGGGGTTATTATTCAGACAATTAGAATCAGCTAGCTGTAATTCCTTTAAATGGTCAAGATTTAAAGTCGAATACAACGAAGATGGTTGGCAAGACAATACTTTGGTCAACTAAAAGAGCATTTACTTCATGCGTATCATGTATGGGGCAAGTAAATTAGTCAAACACACTTGTAGAATTAAGTTTAGGTCCTTTATCATTTACATTGTACAAAGAGTTAAAAGTGGATTAGGAAGAGTAGCAAATGAGAGAGTAAACGTAATGAGTGCCGCGTAGTAGTCAGCTTGAATTTCTCAGTAGAACTAACGTAAGGCTAGGTAATCTCGAAAAAGCAAATAGTAGTGAACGTGCTACCTCACGGAATATATATAAAATATAAGTAGAACAAACATAATANTCCTCATTTAATATTTATCATTTCTTTTTGAAACTACTTTAAATAGATACAGTAAATACTTAGAGACAATCGCTCATATTATACTATAGCTAGTAATAGTTTGCCGCAGAAGTTATCTTTATAGTAACTTCGTGTTAAGAAAATAATGATGCCATCGCTACAATTAATATTGTGTTGGGAGAGGGCGTCATGAGGTGGCGCGAAAATTGTGTGGAGCGACAGTGGAGGAACGGTGGAGGGGCTTGATTTATTATTTATTGAGTTAAAATAACGTATAAACAAGATAAATTTTCCCTGAATTTATGGGGGGTGGGGTGACAGTGGAGGGAAAGGGCTGTAGGGCTCTGTTAGAGAGCAGTGGGGGTATGTGGAATGCCCCACATATTTAACTATACATATATATAAATGTTTATGAAGAGGTGACTTATGCGGACTATCACATGTATGTAAGGGTAATAATGAGGACAAAAGTGGAATTATGTGGAGGTCCGCATAATTCTACCATGTTATTGATATACGTATTAGAAGCACGTGAAGTCCGCATAAGTCACTGTCTATAAACACACACACACATAATCTTTGAGCCCCCTGCGCGCTTCCCCCTAACTGTCCAATTTTTCAATCAGTTAAATACTTTATTTTTTTCGTTTGATTTTTAAATTTAAAAAGATATAAAAATCTTTGTAAAGTGTTTAAGGAGTTAAAACAGAAGTAGTGTAAATGTAAATTTTTTTTTAATCAACTTTTTACAGAATTTTCTGCCTGGTTTCTAATCGCAAAAAATATTCAAGGAGATGAAATTAAAAAAACATTTTTGATCTATTTATTAATTTTTTTGTGTTTTCGGAAAAAAGGACTAATAGATTCTTTTTACTTCACTTTAACATTCTTATCTAGGATTCTAATTAGGCCTAATATTAAGAACAATAAAATAATATTCAATGACGTCGTAAAAATGAAAAAAAGCGGTTATATTCTTTTGCCGTAATGAATCTTTCTGATCGTGAATCACGATTTTAAAAATTATATATTAACAAACACATCAAATTTTTTTGATTGATGGCCTACGAAATTTAGAAAAAATATTTTTTTATAAAACGTTGTATATCTTATACTCGCTTCTCATAACAAATAGACTTAGTTTTTGAAGAAAAAAATTTTAAATCATGTAAAAGGAGAAATTACCACATATTATAGCAGAAATCATTCTACTCACAATTGTTGATAAATTTGGTAATGATATTTATATAAATTTTCTAATTGAATTCGTAAACAATATTCGTAAAGCCTTACCACTGCATGAGCTTTATTTGGAAATGAAGCAATTATTATGTTGATACACGATTTAAGTATCGTTAAAGGCTTATGTAACAGTACGAGATTACAAATTACAAAATTACTTGAATGCAATACTGAAGCGAAAATTATATAATTGGAGAAAAAATAATTAGAAAGATAGCTCACATACCAAAAATAACTCTTAATACGTAAAATTCGTTATTATTAAGAAATAGAAAATATTGTTAGGACAGAAATTTTTGACGTTTACTAATTTAAAGTACATAGAAAAAAATTTAATTTCTTTACATTAGCAAAATTATTCAACTGTCTAAAATATTCTTGTACAATTTATTTAAATAATAAACAAATTCATTAAGTCAATAAAATTGTGATATAAATATTGTTGTATTACGATGCGCATTATTTGACTTGTATCATTAAACAATGTTTCTATTTTTTCATGGTAAAAAGGGCTACTAGCAAGGTTCATGGTTTAAATACTCTATAAGTTTATCCATTGTTATTGATTAAGTAAAAAAATATAACGTCATGTTTTTATACATATTCAATAATGCAATTAATAAGGTCTTAGAAAATTTAGGAACACAAAACCAGCGCTCCATGGCAGTACCTCAACGTTGGTGTGTAAATGTGCTTACAT